AGCTGCCTCTTCTTCAAATGAGAACAGGAAGGACTTCTGTTTTATTTCATGTATCTTTCTTTTGAAAATTGGACAACTGCATGAAAAAACAAAACCAATTTGTTCTTGCCTCCCTCTGCTTTGAATCTGGGATTTAGCAGATGAGAGAAGGCATTCCCAGCAGTTTTCATGGAAGTTGGCCAAGCATTTAGCTATGTGATGGAAGTGGTTGGTGTCAGCACCCAGGAACTGGATATTAATGGCTAGGGGCACCTTTTAAATCTCTCTCTGCTTCTGCTGCTGTGCCTGTCCCAACCTCTTGCTTGTTGTGGCTGCCACTTGTCCTCAGCCCTGCTCCAGGAATGACAGAAAGGGTGATGTGTGTGAGTTGTACTTCCTTGGTGCTCTCCTGGTGCTGGAGAGCAGGACTGTTGCCAGAGATGCAGGAGAAGGAAGAGTGCAGGGATCAGGAACTTCTTGCTGCTGTCTTGAAGTGCTTGTTGGGGGCGGGGGATGACATTGGCAGAGTGTACCTCACAATTCTTGCATACCCACATACAGCTTGTTTTAAGGCATACCTCTTTAATATTAAAAGGTTTAAAAGGGAAAAATGAAATGTGTAAAGAGAGAGCCCCTATTTGTCCAGTAAAACTTTCTCTTGTTTTTAAATTGTTTTAGCTCTTCTATTCCTTCCACATCAGCATCAAGTTATTAGTCTATCTTCAAGGCCCTCCACCCCATTCCAGGGATACAAAAAGAGCACACGTTGCTTTCTCTTTTCAATTATTCAAGTTAAGTGAGACATGTTTGCTTGTGTATGTTGACATGATTCTGTGTAACCTGAAATTCATTGGTTTACAACTTTTTTATTCTGAGTGATAAAGTTTGTGGGTGGCTTGCATAGATAGATAGATAGATAGATAGATAGATAGATAGATAGATAGACAGACAGACAGACAGACAGACAGACAGACAATTGTAAAATAGACATTAAAATCTAAAACAGAATAATACAGCAGCAGAATAAAACCAGTGATGGGGAATAAGAATTGTTCTTTTAAAAAAAAGCATTAAACTTTTTTTGAGGAATAGAGATCTTCACCTGTCCTGGAAAAATCTTAAGGTAAGTGCCAGGTGAGGCTCTCTGGGAAGAACATTCCACAGTCAGGCTCCTTCCTCCAATTCTTACCCCCCCCATCTCCTCTACTTGCTCCTTCTGTACCCTCAAACACTTTCTGTTGTTTTTAATCTCTCCTTTTTACGGGCCTTCTGCCATACTGTTCCTTTTTTGTCGTCTTGCCCTCTCCACCCCCCACCCTGGAGATTGGAAAAGCTTCTGTATATCTGCCTTTCAAATCAACTGCTGCTGCTCCCCTCTCTCCCACACCACTTTTCTGGGGCACAGTAACCTTGTAGTCCATGTTGTGTACTACTATTTATGATCCATGCTTGTGACTCTTCCTTGTTTTTTCAAGGATAGAGGGTCTTAAAGATAGAGATTTGTGCCTGATGTGAAAGGTAAATCTGAATCCTGCACCACCATCCTTTGGAGCAGATTTTATGATCTGTTTCATGCTCAGTACAATCAGCTTCATGCTTGATTTGGTAGGCACACTTAACAGCCATGTAATGAGGTGTTTGTGAGTAGAACACATTTTATGGCTTTAATGGTTTTCTCAGCATTTTATGTGAACCAGCTCTGTGTCCCTTCTGCGTTTGGCAAATGCAAAACAAGCAATCATATCATGCTAAGTTTGCTTTGACACTAAAAGTTTGTTTATGCAATCAACTATTTAATGAAAAAGGATTTGAGGCCAGTGGGATTTTGAGTGTGGGTTGTAGCCAGACCACTGCACAGACACTAGGTTTCCGAGGAATATTGCCCAAACTCCCTGCCAAGATATATAGGATGACCCATCCAACTTGGAGCTTAAGTCACTGTGGAGAGCTGGCTTGGTTGTGCTTGGCTGATTAGAAAAAACAGCTATTGTCAGTCACCTTGTTTGCTTTCATTCCATTTTTGCCATCGGGATTGGTGGGAAAACAGTAAATTCCAGCTTCACTTGTCCAGCAGTTCTTGGAAAGAACTCTGTAAACATCCCAAGTGAGTAAGAGGCAACTAACTGCATCTCCCTTTCTGAGGGATGAGCCTCAACCTAAAATTGAATAGCTTTCTATTACTTAAAAAGTATAAGCTGCCTTTTCTGTACAAGGAAACCCACAATGTGGCATACAGTAATTATAAAATAAAAGCACATTTTTAAAAAAACCTCAAGAATTCACATGTCATTGCCAGCTAATTTTTACTGCTGTTTCGGAGTCATCTCTTCATCTGAGCCCGAAACTCATGGATCTGAGACTTGTTTAACATTCCGAATTGGTGGGATGAGGGAATCACATTTTTATAATGCTCTTTTGCATTAACCTTCCCCATTTCCCTGCAATTAGAATACCAGCACCATAAAGTGTGGGCTGGGCTAGAACCTTTTTTCCTGGCGTAGTAGGGTTCCTTCCCACAAGGAACCATTAGAAAATTACATTCCCTACCTGCAGTCTGAAGTGGTGCGTTCCATTCTGCTGCATGTGTAGACCTGGTCTTACGGAAAATCTGGGGTGGTATTCAACTGACTTTTTGCACTAGTGCAAGGAGATTTCCCCCTCTGCTGCCCATGTGTGCCCTCTGCCACCCCCAAATTTGCTCTGGAGGGTTAGTGGAACCCCTATAACATATTTAGGAGGCACACATGGGTGGGAGAGGGGAAGCGTGTTCTACTACACAAGGAGAAACTCTTGTGCTGATGAAATGTACACATTAGCTCTACATTGAATACAACTCCTGCACATTACAAAGAATCTGGTTTTGGAATTTGGACTAGATTACTTTAAGGGTGCCACTGAAAGAAGTATCAGGATTTTGTTTGTTTGTTTTGCAGTAAATTGGGACTTGTAATTTGCCTGTATCTGCTTATTCTTAGGGCACTGTGGTTGTACAATTTCTAGTATGCGGCTCCAGGAAGCGTAATCAATCTTTGACATGAAATTTCTTTCTTTCTTTCTTTCTTTCTTTCTTTCTTTCTTTCTTTCTTTCTTTCTTTCTTTCTTTCTTTTGCATCTCCAAGGGAAAGAGTAAAATTTCAGGTGGGAGCTGCCTCCCCCTTGGCTTAAGAAGTGTTGTGATTTGCTCTTGTATCCTGAGTTATCCAGCACAGATAGGCTCTTCAGTCTCCCACCATTAGATACTTACTGTTAGGCTGTACATCTGTTGGTCATGACCCTTCAGCCTTCAGGCTTGGCCCCCTTAATCCTTAGTCTGAATCTCAGGAGACCTGGTAACCCTAATTTCAGGTTGAAGCTAGAGTGGTCAGTCTGAAACAATGCAGAGCATTTAGGGACTGATCCACATTCTAGTGGTTAGTCATGCCTTATAAAAGCCTGTCTGGGACTGTAAGAAAATAGTCATCTGAAACATTACACCATTTTATTAACTGTGGAATTCAAATGTTTCTGTTAGAGTGCTTAAAATAAAAAGCTCATCTTGCTGTTCTTTCGTTCTGTTAGAAGCAAAAGCTATAAAAACAGATTGGGTAGATTAGCTGAGGTATTGGACCATAATCAACACTATAGAGAGTGGCCTCTGAAAAATAAATTAGGCAAATTGATTACTTTTGCTCTCTTTCGGACCATCTTGAAACTTTTTATAGAAATGCTGTTTATATTCTAAATTTTCTGACTTGAACTACCTTATTTTAATAATAATAATAATAATAATAATAATAATAATAATAATAATAATTTATTTATACCCCACCCATCTGGCTGGGTTTCCCCAGCCACTCTGGGCGGCTTCCAACAGAATATTAAAATACAATAGTCTATTAAACACTAAAAGCTTCCCTAAACAGGTCTGCCCTCAGATGTCTTCTAAAAATCTGGTAGTTGTTTTTCTCTTTGACATCTGGTGGGAGGGTGTTCCACAGGTTGGGTGCCACTACTGAGAAGGCCCTCTACCTGGTTCCCTATAACTTGGCTTCTCGCAGCAAGGGAACCGCCAGAAGACCCTCAGCACTGGACCCCGGTGTCCAGGCTGAACGATGGGGGTGGAGATGCTCCTTCAGGTATACTGGACTGAGGCCGTTTAGGGCTTTAAAGGTCAGCACCAACACTTCTGAATTGTGCTTGGAAACGTACTGGGAGCCAATGTAGGTCTTTCAAGACTGGTGTTATGTGGTCTCGGCAGCTGTTCCCAGTCACCAGTCTAGCTGCCGCATTCTGGATTAGTTGTAGTTTCTGAGTCACCTTCAAATGTAGCCCCATGTAGAGCGCATTGCAGTAGTCCAAGCATAAGATAAAGCACGCCCCACTCTGGCAAGACAGTGCGCAGGCAAGTAGGGTCTCAGCTGACATACGAGATGGAGCTGGTAGACAGCCGCCCTGGGCACAGAATTAACCTGTGACTCCATGGACAGCTGTGAGTCCAAAATGACACTCAGGCTACGCACCTGGTCCTTCAGGGGCACAGTTGCTCCATTCAGGACCAGGGAGTCCCCCACACCTGCCTGTTCTCTGTTCCCTAGAAACAATACTTCTGAATTGTTGGGATCCAACCTCAATCTGTTAGCCGCCACCCATCCTCCAACCACCTCCAAACACTATAACATCTTTGGCGAAGAATGCTAAAGATTCAGATCACAAAAGAAAATATAACAGGTTGTTCCATAGTCATTGCTGTCTCACACTTTCCTTATGGGCTGCTCTCTTGGACTGGCAGCAGATCCTTGACTACAGTGGACACTCGGGTTGCGAATGTGATCCGTGTGGGAGGCACGTTCACAACCTGCAGCGTTCGCAACCCACAGCGCCACGTCTGCACACGTGGTGCTTCTGCGCATGCACAAAGCGTGATTTAGAGCTTCTGCGCATGCGTGAGCACCGAAACCCGGAAGTAACCCGTTCCTTTACTTCTGGGTTCGGCATGGTGCGCAACCTGAAAACACGCAACCTGAAGCATCTGTAACCCGAGGTATGACTGTACTTAGAAGTCTGTGGGTATAAGGTAGACTTAAGAACACTTTATTTGGAGTGAGCTCTTCCTAAGAGCTGGAACTGTTTGGCCCAGCTTTTTATGTGACTGTGATACTCTGGTTTCTCTTCAGATCGTATAAATCTTTCGCCTTTTTTATGTGACTGTGAGTCTGTTTATAACCAAGCTATAGCTGAAATCTTGTGTTCTACTAATTGCTATAGCAAATAAGAATGAAACTTTGGATGGTACAGGGCAGTAAATATATCCATTTCTATTTTTCTTCCTTTTTGTCGCTGTATTTTCAAACATATATTGAGACCCATTAAAGCCAGTGACTTGCATTAAAACAACAGCAACCTAAGATCCTTTAGGCTTCTAAGAGCTAGTGCCTTGAAGCCTGCTTTATATAATTTCATGTGACCTGGTGGTTGTGTTGCAGTGTGGATCAGATGAGTCTCCCAAGCAAAGATCTGGAGAAAATTCCCTGATCTGTGCTTGAGGGAATTGCCAGATTAACTGGCAGGAGGCCCAGAACAGATGGTTATAATAGTGTTTTCTGAGCAGCATCTATGGAACTGTATGTTTGTACAAATGGAACCAGCCCGCTCCTTGAAATAATTCCCCCCTCATATGGCTACCATCATCACACAAATACATCAATAGTAAAATTCTACAGCTATCTCCTGAACAAACTCAAAAAAAATCTACATGTTTTCTGCTGTTTGCTCTTAAGAACTGATGAGCTTAAAGCCAATCAGATCCACAGTGGCTTTATCTCGCCCTACATTAAGGCGCCTCCAGTGTCTCTTGAGGTTACTGATGCTGATTCATCAGACAAGGCATTTTGCCCACAAATGCTTGTAGACTCTTTGTTACCAGAGCAGCATCACTGGACCTTTGTACAAAAAGAAGTCAAGTCTCCCTCATCTTGCTGCAAGAGCTGCTTTGCTGTGTTCTGATTTATAGTGACCTCGGAGAGAGGTGGTCTGTCACTTTTCACCTGCAAGTAGTCTGTAACATGATTTAGTTACATATTTAATTGAACAGCACCCAGAAGAAGTTTTCACATCTCTGAAGGTAGCTGAAATCATTAATCAGAAAACTTCAAAGTGTGTGACACTTATGACGATGAAAGGAAGCATAACACTTTAGTTGGCCACAGATCAGATGGTGCTTGTTTCCAGAAAACATTTGGTCTCTTCTATTGTTTCCAGTGAAACACATGATGCAGCCATCCATTTCTAGCATCATCAGATCAATGTGCTTTCCCTTTGTATGTTGTTGTATTTTGGGTGGTCACCCAAGCATGTAAGGGGCATTCTGCAGCGATTATAAAAGATCAACCCATGGGATGACAGTAGAGGGTGATTTACCATTGCTGTGGCATCTAGATTCTGTATAGCGGTATTGCATGGAGAGAACAGGTAGCCAAAAAAATGTCCACAGTCAAGAAGAAAATTAAGATTTAATGAAAGGGCCAGAAAGCAAAGCATAAGGAAGTGTTTTAATTTGGCATGCGTGACCCTTTGCAGTAGTTCATGTGTTCCTACCCAAAGTGAGCTGCAGGGAAAAGTTTATGTTTCTGAGAGGGCCTCACTTAGAAGGCCCTCAGCTCAGTCAAAGACATGAGGATGGGATAACTTGCAAGGGAGGAGATGAAATGCGCTTCACACATTCCACAGCACCATGCAAGATTGTCTCTGTGTTTCAGGTCACTTTCTCCTACTTCCCATGCCACACCATGTTTGCCTTCCATTTGTCATGTAATGTGCCGCCACCACCACCTCTTCTCTCTTCCAACCTTAAGATGTTCTCTTTCCCTTCCTCCTCCCATGCTTAAGTATGCACCGTTTATGGCAAGACTTTTATGTACCACAAGCACAGTACTAGATTGCTCCACTGTTCCATTTCAGCTTATATGTTTGATTTCTACCTATATCTAGGTAGATACTAAACAGTCCAAAACAGCTGGGTAGAAGAAAAGGAAGATTACAGGTAGAACATGTACTAATTTTATACTTGCTGCAAATTCTCCAAATTCAGCAGGGCTCAGTTACCATTCCAAAGCAACACTTTCCACTAAGCAATAAATTTGGATATGAAACAAATTACTTTGCCCCCCTGTAACCTGCTGCAGTTTTACTGAACTCCTTTTGCAAAGTCCATTCAGTAAGTGAAATTTGAGGGGGGGATTTGGAAGAAATTACTTTTTACCCTGCTGTGTACATAATCTTAAAATGAAAAAAAATCTACTAAATGAGTATCCTTCCAGCAAAAAAACAGCAGAAGATATTGTGGAACCTTTAAAGATTTTATTATGACATACACTTTTGTGAACTAGGGTCCATTTCATTAGATCAGTCTGTAATTAAACCCCTGTGCTCAGTTGCTGCCAAAACAAGGAAGAAAAAACCCCAAGCTATTCATTGGCAATTTTAACACTTGAGATATAAATAACCAAAATGTGTTATTAGTAATAGTAGCAGATGTAGGAAGAGATTGAAATATGAACCTTAAAAGCCCACCATCTGCTATTTTCATGTGATGTGTCAGCTATAGACTGAATAAATCACAACACTTTAGACACCAGAACAGACGACAGTATAGCTTGGAGCCAAAATTTACACTTTGATGAAATGACAATCTAAGGAGAAGTCTTAGGCCCGAGTGCTTGGCATGATGTCTGGAAAACTATCAGCTTGGAAAAATGAGATTGCCAAAGTTAGCCCCTGACTCCAGCAGTTTTATTTTTTCCAAGGCTATCTTCCTAATTCAGTGACCTCCTAAACCAGATGTTCTATATACATTCTAAACTCAACCCAATATGCTTCTTTAATCAAGCTGAGTATATAGAAAAAACTTCTTATACAGTAACTCTGGAAAACCAAAGATTGAACACTCTTTTTAGGGGTAGGGAATGTGGGCTTTTTGGATGTTGTTGGACTCCTAATTCTCATTGACCACTGCAATGTGGCCAGTGGTCAGAAATTATAGAAGCCTCTGGAGGGCCATCTTCCACATCCTTGCTCTAGTTTCTTAACCACAGCTACAGCTAGGAAGGGCATTGGATGCCTGGCTTGTGAAGAAGCACCACTAAGCAGGAAGCCCTATGGTGGTATTTACTTATTTTTTCCAGATTGGTACCCTCCGTTTTATCAAATGAACTACGGGGCTTTCTGAGACTGAATGATCCTTGGTTTATAATGTGGCTTTATCTAGCCAGCATTTTTTTTACTTATACCGTGTTCAGATGGCTCTTCTTGCCTCTAAATTTATTTTTCAGCTGCCCCAAGAAAGCCAGATAGCTCTTAAGTTTCAAGCTTCTCTGCCATTAGAGAAGCCAGTTTTGATCATTTTGCTCCTGTCTTCATTGAACAGCATCCAAAAACAGGGCTGTTGCCGCTGCCAAAAGTTTTTGTAGTGGTGGGTAAGAATCTTAAGTTGTTTGCCATAGCTATTCTTTAAACTGTAAGATCTCTGAAGCAGACTCCAACATCTGCCATAACAAAAAAGGCATCTTAGGGGAGTCGTGACACTCTTAATACCAGGTTTGATTATAAAACACTCAGTGTGCCCATCCCATCTTAATCCAAAGCAGTCCACTGCTTCTTGTTGGCGCAAGCAAACCACTGGGCATTCTGAGTAGAATTCCTAGGTTGGGTTGTCTTGTGATTTATTACTGATCCTAACTCTTGAAAATGTAGCTTGCTATCTCTGGACTGTATGGTGAATTAGTGGTGTTTCAGAAGCTCCTTGGCTATGAACATCCTTAGCCTTGCTTTAACTCAGATTTGATTTGTTATGAAGACTGTGAATGCACAGTCTTCACGTGCTCAGTTTTCCCCAGTGCAACATAATACATACTTAGCAACTTAATGCATTTTAAATATTTTTCAGGATCACCTGTTGTTGCCTGCTACCACCCATAATAAGACCAGACGACCAAAGATGTCAATAGTATTGCCAGCAATAAACATCAGTGGTGAGTGTTATGTTTAACCTGTTGGAGAAGTTATTTTACAAAAGTCCAGTTGACTATATTGCTTATCGAAATGTAAGTCGTGATGAACAAAGCTTGAAGTGTTTATTTATAATGATGGTGTCGTGATAACTTTTGTATTCTTGAATAAGGGCCAGCAGAATGAAATGCTTTTCCTGGACCAGGCATCCCCAACCTGCAGCCCTCCAGATGTTTTGGCCTACAACACCCATGATCCCTAGCTAATAGGACCAGTGGTCAGGGATGATGGGAATTGTAGTCCAAAACATCTGGAGGGCCGAAGGTTGGGGATGCCTGTCCTGGACTAGAGCACTTCAAGAGGCAAGGGTGAGGAACTGAATGTTAGAATATTTAGAAAAACACCCAACCTAGCCCCTTTACTTCCAAATTTAGCATGTCAAGGTGGGGAGGGGGCAGCAGGGGGGAGGCTTTTGCTTAACTTTCTTCCTGGCATGCCATTTCATGCAACAGTACATAAAATATAAAGGCAAACCAGCATGCACAGATTTGTTTTCTCGGGAGCTTTTATTGGGTAGTGCTAGTCTGCTAGCCTAGATGCTGCCGTTCGTTATTGTTGTTGTTTTTTCTTTTCTATTGTTTAATTGTCCTTGGACACCATTCTGGCTATTTTATTCCAGAAACCCAGTGATTAAGTTTTTTTATATATATAAATAATGAATAGAGGCTAAATCTTTCTTTTAAGCTGACCATTTGGGGAGGGGGGGTTGTGTTACAAAGCAAACAAAGTAAACAGAAAAACAGGGAACGGTATATCTGTTGTCTCCACTTTTAATTCAGTTTGTTTACGTTTAGTGAGAGACGTTTTTGTTATAGACATCTTGCAGTTGGGGGAAAGGAGGGGGGGTTGTGTCAGCATCACATGGGTAGGTCCTTTGTTTGTGTAAGGTAAAGGGATCCCTGACCATTAGGTCCAGTCGCAGCCGACTCTGGGGTTGCAGCGCTCATCTCGCTTTATTGGCTGAGGGAGCCGGTGTACAGCTTCTGGGTCATGTGGCCAGCATGACTAAGCCACTTCTGGCGAACCAGAGCAGCACACGGAAACGCCGTTTACCTTCCCGCCAGAGCGGTACCTATTTATCTGCTTGCACTTTGACTTGTTTTCAAACTGCTAAGTTGGCAGGAGCAGGGATCGAGCAACGGGAGCTCACCCCATCATGGGGATTCGAACCGCCGACCTTCAGATCGGCAAGCCCTCGGTTCAGTGGTTTAGACCACAGCGCCATCCGCGTCCCTTTTGTTTGTGTATTTATTTGTTTTATTGGTATTGTGAAATGTTAGGGTTTCCCAAGCTTGGTGGGTTGTGTTTAGTTGATTGCAGTGTGTTTCATTTGTGTGAGGAAGGCAGGCTAGGTTGTTGGGTCAGGTTAGCCATATGGATTCATATGCTGTTGGAGGGGATAGGTCATTGTCCTGTTGTGCTGTGTATGTAATGAAGGGGAACCACAATGGGAACAAAATTGTTTTCTGACCAGGAAGAATTTCTGCCAAAGGAATGAATCAGTCTGCATCCTAACAGTTATATTTTCCTAAACTTTATGGCAACGTAAGGGCAACAATCTAACCACACTGTAGAAAGGGAAACAGTTATAAAATGGATAATACTTTGGTTTTGATATTCATTTGCATGAAGAATGTTTCCAACACCTATGCAGTGGGAGCCATTTCTTAGTAAAGCTCTGAATTTATCACCTGCAAGCATGTGGTTTATCGCTTGCAGGCTGAATTCTGATATGGAAATCTTACAGCTTCTTTGGAAAACTGCCTTTGATTGCAAAGGGGAGCAAAGAGTGTTTCTAAAAACGTGAAAAGAATTGTTGTAGCATGTAAGAAACAAAGATTTGGGAGGGAAGAGGGATTGTGCAGCTATGTTGTCTGATCTTTAAAGTCTTCAATTTTTATTTACTGGGAAGCTTGGACAGGAAAGGGTATTGGGTGGGGTGAGGGAGTCAAGCACTGAGACAACAAAAGACATCAGTTCACAAGGGTGAATATTAGTCAATCTGTTTAATAAAGTAGCTAGGGATAATTGATTTCATCTCTCAGATGAATGAATAAATTCTACATGCATCTTTGCCTCATTCCAGTTATGGAATAAGAATACCTCTTGGTGTGAGGATGAAGTGGGAGCTTCTGCCACTTTTGTGCAAAGGGTTGTCTCCTGGAGAGATTCTCCCTTTTTCTTTCCTCCCCCTGTAGGTCATTGTAGCCTGGACAGCAACTAGTGGTAGTTGTTGGTTGTTGTTGTTTTAAAGGAGAGTCACATTGAGGGTGTGAGAGGCTTGTGGATTAGCCACCACCTTCCCAATTGGTAGCAAATTTGCTGCCATAACAATGGCAACCCTTCCACACATCCCTCTAAATAACACTTTTTTAAAAAAGCCTTTGGGTTGGCAGTTGGGGGTGGAGAGGAAGATGATTTACCTGAGGCAGTAAGATTTGGACCTTGAACTTTCAGAGGCTGATGTAGATATTTGGAACAGGTGTTTTGATCACAGAAGTGGACAGTAGGGCCTGGCTAGATGTTCCATAGATAGTAAGCTTAGTTAGATGTTCCTGGTTAGATATCCTTACCCACAGCCCAGGGACCCGTGTTCCTCTCTCCATGAAGCTCTATAACAATGCAACCTCCCTCATAATTCTCTTGCCCATTACAGCCAGCTCTGGGAATTTTATATACATAGGAAGCCTTTTTTGTGCTAGGCTAGCTAAATCTTCTGAATCAAGCCTGCAGTAGTTCTTCACCATGATTGTGAGTAGACAGAGAAATCTTATTTATTTCCATCCTCCCCCCTCCCTTGGCCAAAGCTGGGCATTTTTTTCCTTTGTACCAAGGAACGTGAAAAGCTATTTCAGTTCTGTTCAACAGCTGTTTGTGCAGTTGCAGATGTTACATTTCTATCAACGCTTTTATCCCAAATCATTTTGCTTTTTCCAGCTGCTGGTTCTAGGCTCCAGCAACTCACTGTAAAAATTGAGTTGGTTAGATTATGCTGTCAAATACCTTGGGTAGTGGTTTTATAAGGGAAGGAGCAGGGGCCATGTCTTTTAGAGGCTTTCTATACCATAGAAAGGATGTAGCTGCTTCTTGAAATACTTTCAAAGCCTCAGTAAGTTTCCCCACTGATTTATTATCAGGCTTAGTGTAGCAGCATGTAGTGAAATAACTGCCAAACTGTGCACCATAAACTGAACCTAATTTAAATAAATCAGATTAGACTATGAACCTAAAATACCCACCCACAGAAAAGGCTGCCCAGCTGTGCATCATGAAAAGTAAATTAGCTTTCATTGAAAGATTTGGTTTAATCTAAATAAATTAGACTTTGAGCCTATGAGCCTAAAGTACCCACCCACAGAAGAGGCTGCCTGTCACATCTCCACATGTTTCTCCAGCCGAGCCTCTTTCTGTTAAGAGCAGGAAGACAACAGAATGAAGAATAAGCCTCTCCTCCCCATCCCCATTTATCACCAGCAGTTGTCTTTAAGAAGTGCAGTTCCATTTAGTTACCATTGGTAGACTTTCCTTCCATAAATTTGCAGAATCCCATTTTAAACCTGTCTCTACCTATGACCCTTACCACAACTTATAATCATTGAACTGTAGTGTTGGAAGAGACTCGAGGGTCATCTAGTCCAACCCCCTGTAATGCAGAAATCTCAGCAAAAGCATCCATGACAGATGGCCATCCAACCTCTGCTTGAAAACCTCCAAGGAAGGAGAGCCCACAACCTCCCCAGGAAGTTCATTACACTGTTGAACAGCTCCTCCCAAGGGAGACAGTTCCTCTCTCGACCAGCTCTTACTGTCAGAAAGTTCTTCCTGATGCTTAGTTAGAATCTCCTTTCTTGTAACTTGAAGCCATTGGTTTGGGTCCTACCCTACAGAACAGGCAAAAACAAGTTTGTTCCATCTTCCATGTGACAGTCCTTCAGATATTTGAAGATGGCTATCATATTTCCTTTCAATGTCCTCTTTTCCAGTCTCATCCGCATCTCCCTCAACCATTCCTCATAAGGCTTGGTTTTCCGGACCCTTGATAATCTTGACTAGCCTCCTCTGCACACATTCCAGCTTGTCAGCATCCTTCTTAAACTGTGGTGCCCAGTATTCCAGGTGTGGTCTGATCAAGGGAGAATAGAGTGGTGCTGTTACTTCCCTTGATCTGAATACCATACTGCTGTTGATGCAGCCTAGAATAGCATTAGCTTTTTTGCTGCTGCTTCACACCATTGACTCATGTTAAGCTTGTGCTCTACTAAGACTCTTGGCAGCAAGTTCCATAAATTATGGTTTTATATTTTGATTTTATTCTGTGAAGTGCCTGGAGACCTCCAGGTATAGGGCGGTATAATAATAGGATCTCTGCCCATTAACCATTTTTTTTGTATTTTTATTAAAGATTTTCTTGATTTACAGAAGTATGTGTAATGTCTCTCTCTTGTATTTTTTCCATGTAGCATTTTTACAAATCAGTTTCATTTGCTGAGACATTAGGAAGAAAAGGGGGAGAGGCATGGAGGGGTGGAAGATGGGTGGGGGCGGGGGCGGGTATTGACATCCTCTCAGACTTTTGGGGGCCCCCTTTCTGTATCTGAGGTTCTGTCAACTTTCCCTTAGAAGTCAGTTTGGGAAAGATTTTCTGCAGTCTTTTGTTGATAATAAGCAATAAAAGTCTTGTCCTGCTGGGATTCAAATGAAGTTGGAGCCTATATAGTCTCAGTGTGTCTCAAAATGTTCCCCAATGCCTTACAAATCTGAATGCTTCCTATGCACGAAGATCCCTCAACTCTGCCTTATCCCATCAGTCTTGTACGGGGGAAAAATAGTGTTTCCAAGCACGCTACCTTAGAAGCCCTGTCCAACTCAAAGTCAGCTGATTCTGCCACCTCCCCACCAGAATGGTCAGGTTGTAAAGAAGGCTGTGCCCTGTTCACTGTTCCAGGATATGCTCTGAACATCG